ATTCACTAGCTCCTGTATGTATTAATATATTTGGTCCATTTATATTTTCTCTTCCATTATAATATTTTCCTTCTATTTTCATATTTCCAACATTCCTATATAATTTTACTTCTTTTATATTACTAAATTCTTCTAATTGGTTTTTATTAGGATATTCTAAGATTTTTTGATCTTTTGATTAATTTTATATCCTTAAATATTATATTATTAAAACATTCTCCTTCATTTAATTCTGTTATTTCGGGTTTATTTTTGTTATACTAAATTCATATTCTTCCGGAATTAAACTTATTTGTTTATTTAGTTCTATTATTTTGCTAATATCATTACATTCTCTATGTACTTCAATATAAGATTTATTGGAATAAATATTTTCATAATTAGAATTGGTAAATGTATATAAACTCTATATTTTATAGTCATAATTTGATCCCCTGGTTGCATAATATCATCTTTATACAACTTAAAATATAGTCCTAATACTTCATTAAAATTTCTATCTTTTAATGAAACACAATATTTTAGATAACATGTAAACATTATTTTTGATATGCCAGATTTCCTTCTATTGTTCCTAAGTGACTATCTTTTAAATTTATTATTCTTCAATCATGTAAGGTTATAGTCAATGGTGAATTGATTCCTTCTCTAAATAATGATTTAAAAATTATTTGTATTCCTACTAAATAAATATATTGGATTTTTACTAACCTTTGTTAATAATTCTTCAACTGTATTTTTTGTTAAAAGATTTATTTTATGTTGTCCATATGTTGTTCTTACATTTATAGCTTTTTTTTGTGATATTCATTTATAGCTATCATTTCCTTTTTCTAAATTCTATCTAAGACTTCTCATTTCCCTATTTTTAGATTTAAAGATAATTTTTGTAATTTTCTAAATTTATTATTATTAAAGGTAACTTTTAATTCATATCGTTCTATTCCTTCATATTCATGTATATTTATATTATTATTTTCTATTTCCTTGATTTCTTTATTCATGTTCTGATTTATGATTCTCTGTTTCACTTATATAAACTTCTTAATTATAATATTCTTAAATATCTGATATTTCATAAAATCAATATTTTATTTCCAAATATTCTTTTTGTAATATTTTAACTTTCTTTTTTATCACAATCAGGACTTGTATGACATATTTCTCCACAATTCCAACATGTACATTGACTTTTATTTTTCTTGTAACTTTTATTTTTCTGTTGATCATATGAGATATATATATATATATATATATATTTTGTAATATCTTCTTCTAAATTTTATATATTTTTAGATAACATGTAAACATAATAATAATTTCTAAAATCACAAGTATATTCTTAAATTTTACACAAATCACATGTTGTTAAATTTATAAGTTTAATTCTAGTATTGTCTTTTTCTCTTATCTCTTCTCTTTTAACGTTTCTTATCCAATTTTCTCCTAAAAAATCATCCGAAATGTATTATACTAACTTTTCCATACCTTATCTATCTGATTTTATTATCTCTGTTTGTACATTTCTTTTTATTAATATTTTTGTATCATTACTTATTCATTCCCACCAATTTTTAACATATCCTTCAAATGATGCTATTAAGAAATCTATTATTCTTTCAGTATTTTCCCATGTGTCATTTTTATTATATAAAAAAAATAATATCATTGAATCTGCCTAAGTTAATATGACTTTTTTAGTATCTATTTTATAGTTTAAATCTAATTTTATTCCTCCATAGTTAATAAGTTTATCATAATTATCATTTAATTCAAACCTGTCTCTATATTTATTTCCTTTAGGTGGTTGTCTATCTCTTACTTTATCATAAAATTATCTATATGATTTATTATATATAGGTGCACAACTTTCATTTGAATATTCTAATTCTTGTTTAGATGTTCCCATTGGATTTGGTTATCCTCCAGTATTCATTAAACCTTTTTATTCACTTATATCAATTAAACTTAATTGATCAAAATTTTCTATTAGTAAATCTAATTCCTCATTCATCTTTATCTTCTTTTTCTTCTACTTTTAATTTTCCTAATATTTTTCCCTAGTTTCTTCTTCTTCTAATATTCTTGGTAATATATTTTTTTCTAAATTCATCATCCATACTTCATCTTTCTATTACTATATTTTCTTTCTCAATATATTTCTTTCCTATTCTAGTCATTTCTTTTTCTATCAATTTTTATCTATTTTCTTTTCTTAATTTTTATTATTTTCTTTTACTTCTCTAATTTCAATCTTTAATATATTTATATTATTACTTGTTTCTCTTACTTCATTTCTTAAATCTTGTACATCAGTTATTAAAATTTTTATTAATGACTTTAATTCTTCCATATATTCACCTATTGACATATTAAAATCATCTTTCTAACATATAAGTTAATTTATATCTTTTATCATCTTTGTTTGTCTATTATTATTCCAAATCTTTTATTAGTATAGTTATCTGTATTTACTAATTCTTCTTTTATTATATTTACTTTTAAGTCTTAATCTTTGACATTTTAATTTTATTAATTGTCTTTTATTTGATACTCTTATACTTTCTGGTATTAACATTATATCTCGTATTTTTTACATTTTTATAAGTAATCTATTTAATTTCAAATCTATATTATTACTTGCACTCATATTCTCTTTATGATATAAATTGATTTCTTCATCTTCATATACATTAATTTTTTTTATATATATCTATCATTTATTGTTTCTATTATTAATTTTTCTAATATTTGTTCTTTTATTTCTTTAGGTAGTTTTTTAATTATTGTTAATGTCATTATTTTCAATTTATTATGAATAGGTTTTAAAAATATATAACTTCCTCTTTCTTCTTCTAAATAAAATCTAAGTGTTAATCTGTATCTAAAGATTTTTTCCTTTTTAGGTAATTTATTTGTTATGGGTTTTCTCATAGTTCATGGCTCTGATACCAATTAGGAGATGCTAATTTGAGCGAACAAAAATCAAATAAATAAAAAAATCTATCCAAATTTAAGTAATAATTAAATTTTAGGGATTAAAATGGAAGATTTCTATATTATAGTAACTTGTTATGTAATATTCAAAAGGAGGGGGTATTTTAGGATCTAAATTAGTCAAAGGTTATTTTAGAAAAATGGCCTCTTTGTTTAGGTCATTTGTATGTATTTCCCAAGCGAAAGAAGGGTACCTTCCTACTCGGGCGCCAATAAAAGAGAAAGTTTTCGCAGGGGCTCATCATCTGATGCAGAACCAATGCGAGAGGGAGAACCTAATACATACCGCAAGTATATACAGCTATAGAAAAGGGATGAATGTGAATTGGGTTGTTGAGTTCGCGGAATTAACAACGGCGGCCAAGCAGGTTAGGCAATCTCCTAAGGCCCACTTTGGTGAGGCACCAAATTATGCAAGGTTAGTTGGTTGAAAAAAAAAATCATATTTATGAAATTCTTTAAAATAGAATTATCAATACGCAAATACAAGAAACTAGTAAAAATTGAAAATACAAAAATTTTTAGAAAGACATATAAATGACAAAGTTTATCACTTACATTTATTTATCATATAAATATATCACAAACATTACGCTCTCTAATTAATTTGACCATTTATCTTCCGAACATCCATTTTCTTTTCTTAACCAAACAAAAATGTCTCTTTAATCTCATGATAATAATCCTTTGTTCGTGTTCATACTTCTTAGTTTTGAATTAATTTAGTATGAGTTAATACAAGATTTTAGGAGCTTATTTGTATTTGATCATCATTTTCAGTATTTTGTTATACAATATCTTGTAGTCAACATTTTTTTATTTTGTACATAAATTACTCAAATGCACATTCAATTTTGTTTTAAATAGTTGTAGTGAGAAAATGATCAAAGAAACGAACATGGCACTTTGCCATTGCATTATAATTTTGTATGTCAAACTTCACTTATAATTTATATTGCATGTTCAATTTTGACATTTTCTTATTTTTCTCTTCAAACTTTGGGGTTTAATTGTCTGTATTAGATTCTTCATGAATATATTAAAACTCTCTATAGGAAGACTATGTAAGAATGCGTTGATTTTTCTTCAATAGGGCCCCGTATTTAAAGTTAGCATATGACCCCAAAATATTAGGCCGGCCTTGTATGTTTTAAGGTGTCCTTATCCCTAGTCTTCAATGTTCATTTGTGTGTGAAACTAAAGCAGAGTTGCCTGTAGTTTTATTTGGAATTTGAAACTTGATTTGTAAATTTAATTGTTCAATCTTTTGCTCTACACGTGCTTATATTAATTTTTTATTATTCTCTTTTTACTTTTAAGTAATTTTTTCTTTTTTATCGACGTTATTGTTTAAGAAAAAAAAGTGATTTGCTTTTAAATCTAATGAATAAGTTAAATGATTTTAAAATCTAAAATTCATATCATAATTCTAGACAAACTTTTTAAGGTCAAAAAATTGCTTATCATTGTTAAATGAAAATGCACGCTACTTCTAGAATTTTTATGTTTTGTAAAATTATTGTATTTTCTTATTATTGGAAGATTGAGGAAACCTTAACATATCTTCTAAGATTTAAGAAATTTATTATCCAAGTATAGAAACTTTTCTCAATTCAAAAATCAGAACAAGCGTCAAATCAAATTTAAAAAAATAAAATAAAATAAAAATGAAGAGTTTGCATCATTAATATTTGTATTTCTATTGTTCCAATTATAACTCTCCTCTCATTAATAAATGTACTAAAAGTTTAAATATGAACAAAAGCATGTTCCACAGTTGTTTATAATCTATTTAAATTATAAATAAATAAAAAGATTCTCACAAAATATATAGATAAAAAATAGTTTAACTGGTTATAAACAAGAGACAAACAAGGACTAAATCCCTGTTAGATTTATAGTTAATAAGACCTACAACTTTTATCAATTTTTCAATCTAGTATTTCCTCAATTTTTATCAAAATTTACTGAAAATATAATGGTTAGCTAAGCCAAACAGGGTCTAAGTATTGCAAGCACTTCAAAATACATAATTTTTACTCGAGAAAATATAAAGGTTAACCGTTCACAAGTGCTAGGAGAACGAAAAATAAGATAATGTACATATGCACTAACTCACGAAGAGTGCGATGAAGTCTAGAAATATACGACTTGTGGAAAGACGGGAATGCAGCAGAATTACAAAATAAGAACCTCATCCATATCTTCATCTTCCTCGTCGCCAAAGACACCGAGGTTGGTTGGCCCATGTTGTATCCCACGCAACAAAATATCCAGTAAACTTACGCGTTCCCACATCATCTTTTCTTCTAGTTGGCGCATGTGCGGGATGTCATCACTGGAAACGCTTTTCAGAACAGAGCTAAGAGCCTCGGGGTTATACTTGAGCAGTAACTTTCCGTGTGGTTCGAGGATCTCTACGTCAAAAGCAGGATACACGGGCCGCCCAAGAACTCGAACATGACACACGCTGCAGTGTTTCGTGACAAGAGTCGTGTCATTTTAGTTGCACACAGTCACATACAACGTACAAGCATAGACACTAAATCCAACATGCAGCAGCGCGCACAAAATGAAAACAAACAACATAACATGCTACAATTGCTGCAAAATTCATCGAGGAGGAGGCTTCATTAAGCTGTATATGATCTATTCTTTCAACCTGCTGTTGGATTCTAGGGAACCTAATTGTACTGTTTGTATCAGGTCGCCATATTTTCCTACGTAATATACAGAAATCTGGGGGTCGGGTAGCATTTTCCTTCTAGATAAAGCATGGGGTGGCAGGATAGAACTATGCAATCTACTTGTTTGTTATAGTGAAAAATCTGCAAAGGAAAGGGGCAAGTTGACGTAGAGAGAACCACTATAAATTTGTGTGCTTGGGTGTTCTAGGGACAGGAAGGTTTACTTGCCAATTTGCTTATGCAAGGTAAGTATTAGGTTAAAATTATTAGTAATATTTTAGGAGGAATAGTATTGGGTGCCCAAAATGAGTTATTAATAAATGGATGGTGGTTGTGAACATGCAACTGAATTTTTGACTGAACAAAAGAAAAAATAGTTTTTCAGTAGCTTTTAATTTAACACAAAAATGTCACAGTCAGCCAACTAAATGCATCAATTTTTCCCTGAATTGTAATTATATATCTTTTGATTTCCAATAAGATCCAAATCATATTTAATATCACGTTCTTATTCCACAATCTCCATGGAGTTTGAAGATAAAGACAGGATTCAAGTGAAAATACAATTAACCGTGCAAATCGACTGACTGAACTGCTTTACTGTTTCTAATTCCAATGTAATAACAGGGTAAGCATAAGGATGAAGAACGCAGAATATGGGATAAGGGAAAGTATAAGGGAACGCACCATATGTAGAACAATCCATCCATTTCTTGTCTTTGAATCCTACCCAATAACTCAATCTGCAAATATCCACCCATGCAAAGAACGGGTTCTGGCAGCTTGAATGGCTGCAAACGATTTTCCTGTGTCGGAGGAAAAGATTATCCAAACATGATCCTTCCAGGATGAACTACTACTAGATCCATCTAAAGATGAATAGAGGCTCTCTTGACAACACACACCACACACACACACACACAAAAAAAAAAAAAAAAATTAAAAATAAAAACTTGGGGTGGGGGACGAATTAAGTAAATGATATTATTGTGACAAAAATCCCCTCTCATTCCCATCAATCAAGTGAGAAAAAAACTGAACGGTTCCAAACACAGAAAAGAAGTGCTATTAGAATTCTGATGCCATGAAGCGGAAAGAGGAGAGCAAAAATCAAAAGCAGATGTTTAAAATTAAACCCAAGTACAAATAAAAACCTGTGTCATTGGAAATTCTGGCGAAGTGTATGTCCATCCAAACATGTCATCAACTGGCTTTTGCACTGGCAAATGTTTGAGGTTCATTTCAATCTCCCTTGGGGATTTAGGATGACTTATTCGAAATCTTACAGATTTCGCTGAATATATGGGTTTGCCCGGCTGGAAAAAAGCTAAAGGAACGTAATATTATTCTATTAGTAACAAGCACCACAGACATATGCTCAAACAAAA